AAGCCTTACCAATAGGATGGATGAAATGGAAAACAGAATATCAAGACTGGAAGATAAAGTGGATGAATTAGACCACTCAAGCAAAGATCAAGAGAAATTTAAGATAATACAAGAATGGAATATGCAGGAATTGTGTGACACCATAAAAAGACCAAACTTATGAATCATGGGCATACAGGAAAGAGAAGAATTCCAAGATAATGGCATGGACTAGATCTTGAACAGAATCGTGGACGAAAATTTCCCAAAATTAAAGAAGGACATGCCCATAGAAATACAAGAAGCATACAGAACACCAAACAGACAGGACCAGAGAAGAAACTCTACACAGCACATCATAGTAAAAACACTAGATGTACAAAACAAAGGGACAATACTGAAAGCTGCAAAAGAGAAACAACAAGTCCACCATCCCCACTTCTCTTTAACATAATACTTGAAACTCTTGCAAGAGGAATAACACAAGTGAAGGAAATTAAAGGAGTAACAATTAGAGAAGAAAAGATCAAATTATCCCTTATTGCAGATGATATGATATTATATCTAAGGGATGCCAAAAATTCCACCCCAAAACTCCTAGAAATTATTAACATGTTCAGTAAAGTGGCAGGTTACAAAATTAACCTACAAAAGTCTGTAGCCTTTCTATATACCAATAACAAGAAATCAGAGAAAGAGCACATGGAAACATTCCCCTTCACAATAGCTGCAAAAAAAAAAATCTTGGAGTAAACCTGAGCAAAGACATTAAGAGCTCTACAGTGAAAATTTTAAATCTTTAAAGAAAGCAATGAGGAAGACATCAGAAGATGGAAGGACCTCCCATGCTCATGGATTGGAAGAATTAATATTGTGAAAATGACTATCCTACCAAAAGTCATATATAGATTCAATGCAATGCCAATCAAAATCCCCATGACATTTTTCACAGAATTGGAAAATACTATCCTAAGATTCATATGGAAACACAAAAGACCCTGGATAGTCAAAACAGCCCTGAGCACTAAGAGCAATGCCGGGGGGCTTACTATACCAGATTTCAAGCTGTATTACAGAGCTATAGTCATAAAAACAACATGGTACTGGCACAAAAATAGACCCATAGACCAATGGAACAAAATTGAAGACCCAAATATGAGTACATGTAATTTCAGCTGCCTGATATTTGACAAAGGGGCCAAGAACATCAACTGGAGGGAAGACAGCATCTTCAGCAAATGGTGCCTGCAAAACTGGATCTCCACTTGTAGAAGAATGAAACTAAACCCTTATCTTTCACCTTGCACAAAAGTCAATTCCAAATGGCTCAAAGACCTCAATGTAAAGCCCAAAACTCTAAACTATTAGAAGAAAAGTTTGGGAAAAACCTTCAGGATATAGGCGTAGGAAAGGATTTTCTAATCTGGACATCAATTGCTCAGGAAATAAGGGCAAGATTCAACAAATGGGACCTCATTAAACTAAAAAGCTTCTGTACATCAAAGGAGACAACCAAGGAAGCAAACAGAAAACCCACAGAATCGGAGAAAATCTTCACCAGCGACACATCCGGCAAAGGCTTAATAACCAAAATTTATAATGAACTCAAAAAACAGAGAACCAAGACAAGAAGCAACACAATTAAAAATGGACTAAGGAGGTGAACAGAGAGTTCTCAAAAGAAGAAGTAAAGATGGCTATGAAACATCTTAAAAGATGTTCAACATCACTAATAATTAGGGAAATGCAAATCAAAATCATTTTAAGATTTCACCTTATCCCAGTCAGACTGGCTAAGATCAAGTGAACAAATGATATTAAATGTTGGAGAGGATGTGGGGAAAGGGTAACACTCCTACACTGCTTGTGGGGCTGCAAACTGGTTCAAACCCTATGGAAAGCAGTGTGGAGAACTCTTAAAAAAACTATAAATGAACCTACCATTTGACCCAGTTATACCACTCCTTGGAATATACCCAAAGAACTCATCGTATTGCAGAAACACATGTACATCCATGTTTGTTGGTGCTCTTTTCACAATAGCCAGGATTTGGAAGCAACCTAAGTATCCCTCAATTGATGAATGGATAATGAAAATGTGGTTCATTTATATGATGGAATTTTACTCAGCAGTAAAGAAAGATGAAATCATGAAATTTGCAGGTAAATGGAATGAACTAGAAACTGTTATACTAAGTGAAGTAACACAGACTCGGAAAAAAATCAACATATGTTCTCCGTCATATGTGGTTCCTAGAACCAGACACTAATAAATAAGTATGCAACCAGACATAACTACAGGAACCAAGATAATGGAAAGGAAACAGGGAAGTAAATGAAATGAAATAACCTAAAAGAGAAGAACAGTAGGAAACCGGACTTAGTAAGGGAGAGATGGATAAAAATTGGGTTAGTTTAAGGGAGAACAGAGTGAAGGGTTTATAAGGATCCTAGGGGATAAAGGGGAAGAAGGAGCTCAAGCGAGGTAGGACCATAGGAGAAGGGTATTAGTAAGGGAGAAAGGGGGGAAATGGGGGCACCTTAAGTGGGAAAACCATGATGGCGGTGTGAGACAACATTAGAGATAAACAATGCCTAGCTAGTT